CAATATAATTAACAGTCACAATCATCATTTCTGGTCCAAAGGCAATCCTCGCTGGCTCGGACAAGATAATATTCAACAAAAACTTGCAGCGAATGTTTGGTGTGGAGTATTACACGGTCATCTGCTTGAACCTTATTTGTACGAACGCAATTTAACATCTGGAATTTATTTAAATTTTCCTTGTACGCAATTTCAAATATTGATGCAAAGGCTTCCAGATGATATTTAGGAGGAGGTAGGAAGGTGTACCTTTCCCATTCAGTTCAGGGAGTGATTCTCAGGCGTACGACGCCGATGCAGCCTTGATGACTACGGAAAAATTAAGATGGAAGAGAAAACTTTCTCATGACGCGCGGACGTAATGTTTGCAGGTCAGCGTCGATGCAATTAGTTCGCGCTCAGGCGATTTTTACGATCGACCGATCTTGAAGTTTTTCGCTTTTAAGGTATTGCGCAAACCGAGCCGTCGCCGTTGTCTCTTACTTTCCTCGTGCGTTTCTTTTCTTTCTTACGCGGGCACCAGGAATTGCTCGCGGTGTCTGGCACTGGCACGAGAATAAATTCGCCGATTGTTTAATGCGATTTCAATTTCACGTTTCATAATTTTATGCACAATATTGTATTTCACGTTACGTCCTCAAAATCTTTCTGCACTTTCTCCCGAAGAGTCGCACCCGTGACTCGTACGTAAGCGCGTGATCCGTTCCGTAAGGAAAAATGAACCTTTCAGAACGAATCAAACTAAACATGTAACATAAAACTACTCCTGGACGAGCACGTGTGAAAGCCTATTATTTGATGTTTTGGCTTCTTTTAACACTTTCATAGCGATTTTTCATTTCGCTCTCTTAATTGAATATTTGTTGATAATTATTGTATTCTTTAAGGATTATTAAACCAATTATTTTTCAAAATTATGGTATTACTAATATACTGAAGCTATATTGCTAAAAATACGCACGATGATACAATCCAGAGTGATACGAACGATGCAACCACGTTGTTATACTAAATCGTTGCATAATAATTGGCAAACACAGTTAATATGGTAACGAAATAGTGAAACGGCCCTATTATTTGAAGTATGTGAACTGACATACTATGCCTAATAATGAGAACTTTATTTTAATAATAATAAGATTGTATTTCACCAGGCAGCAGCGTAACCAGAATCGTTCCACACCCACGCCATCTTCTCAGAAGATCGTTTCGCGCGATTTCCATTGAAGACACCACGAACCCATCGACGGACTTCTGTCTGAATCCCGTTGAAGTAGGCGTTACCGCGATTGCAATTATTCAATAATTCGTGCAGCAACATTCCACAGTTTCGCAATCGAAAACGCATCCTACTCACGCTGGGATGTCTTCCTCAGATAGAGCGTCTAACTAGATGTTTCGCAACTTGTCTCGCACCACTTCCCACGAACCGCGGCGATCTCTTTGATATCTTTCTCTGTGTTCGTCAGACTTGAAAGTAGACAAAGGTGACCTCGAATGTAGAGGTAAACGGTTCTTCGAGGAACTGCTGACCAGAGCCTCTCAGAGGTCGAAAGTTACCCGAACCGTTCGCCCTTTGATGAAAGAATAATATTAAACGAAATTACAAGGACAAGGATTTACGTTAAATGTCGAACAATTGAAGACGAATAAAGAACGAATTTATTCAATTATTTTTCTATTAAAATTAACAGAGAAAATGTTTACTTGGTCCTCTTATTTAATAGAATTTAATTAATTTTTGGAATTCATTTGAAATATCACTAGTAAATTGTACAAATAACGAATACATCGCGAAAAAACCAAATAACTACAACAGTTAACCGTCGAGAGATAAAACGCCTTAATGTCATAATTTAACGAATATATTTGATAAAATTCTACCCCATATACTCTACGACTGCTCTGAAAAGCTCAATAATCATGTGCGCTCTTAGCAAAATATTTGTTTTTTCAAATTCTCTTGCGGCTAATGAAACGTAAACGACACCAGGCTTCTCGAGGCAAGAGGAAAACAAGAGGAGGAAGCAAATTAACACTTTCAGGCAGAATCGATCTTGAGATTAATTAATTAACGTCGTATTCTAGTATCGATTGATTAGCCGATACAATTGAAGGAATAATCGACAGAAGTAATCAAGATTAATGGTATGACTGATTAATAAGAATCAGTCATGACGATTAACGATTGAAGTAATCGCTATGCGACTGACGATTAACAATTGACAAATGAATACTGCTAATCGTTCTCAACGACTACGATTAAGATAATCGTAATTGTTCGGGACGATCGATGAACGATTAACGATTAATATAATAGTAAGGAGCTTTATCGAGAACGTAACCACTGAAACGTCAGTAAAAAGACAGTCGCTCCACGTTTAGATATAGTTGTTGGTAGGGATATTGTGAGGTCGTAACCCGAAACAGCAGTTATTCCTTTATTAGCACAGGTAATTGATTCCTAAGACGACAGGTACGCCGCGGCTCTAAGGTATACATGTCCACGTTGCACTCCAAGACTAAATATGTTTTGTTACGAGTATCTCGGATTTTTCCAAACTGGAAAAACGAAAAACTTTTGACAAGAGCGTCGCTCTTGTCGATATATTATTGGCTTGCAAAAAACTGAAACGACTGGGAATAGCGAGAACTGAACGGATCGTGTAAAAGCACCAAGTTTTCCGAACTGAAACGAAACGAGAATAGAAACTGAAACTGAACCGAGAACAGATATGATCGTCTAAAAGGACCTTTACATGTTATTATTTCGACGGGCACACACGTTCTCGGTCGCAGGTGAACGCACTCAGGTGCCACGCGATCAGCTGTTTTTATGCGTCGTTTTTCGTCGTTTTTCTTCGACTCGCGTTCGCACGTTTTTCGCTTCCTGTAATAATTGCGCATTTATGTTGTGCGATGACTGCAGCGAAATGCTTCACAGTTTCTCACCTTTCCTTTCAGTCCTTTCCTCGTTTAACGAAGTTTTCTACATTTACTTTCGAGTCGAATTATAGTCGAGTTCAATCGAGTATTTTCAAATAAACGAATAGATCTAACGATCCTATATCCCACATTATTTATGTATTTTCCACTTGCGAGTAACTAGAAAAAAGAAACACACAAACATACAAAGTATATGTACGCTATAATTTTCAGATGAAAGAGATCCATGGTACCATAACGACTGACCTATGAACCGGTTGATGAAAAGTTGTTAAATGAAATTAAGAAAGAATTTTCATTATTATTTTTTCGTTGAGAAATAGGCCTTTAAACACACCTTCATTTTTGTGTGCATTATTCTAGATTAATGATTTCAAACTTAGCTGCCAAAATTAAATAATAGGACTATTGGATTATATAGGATAATTAGATATTCTTTAATTTTGGTTCTCGCTACGACTAACTGTAAATGTATATAAACGTATATGAATTAATATTATTTGGTATTAATTCTTTATACCTCTACACGTACTCCTGTATATACTTTTTCAATCGAAACCTTCAACCTTAATATGAAATCTTTTTTCTTTAATCGCGTGACATTATTCGAATCAATCCGGGTAAAGCAGTGCGATTTCAAAAACTGCCAGAAAATCTGTATACCACTCGATCTTTCGAACGCTATCATTGCGCGAAAACCCGTTAAAAAGTGAACGTTACACTACAGTGAACACCTCTTATTGTTAGTAAGATTCAGCACTCTTCTTCTCGGCTTTCAAAACCGTGCTGCCGTTGCGTTCAAGCGTAAACGCAGAAACTAGGCATCTCCTCGGCCGTGAAAGGGTTGAAGTAATAATACAAGTACTCTGCCCTGACCTGGTCTTGCTCGGTCTTGCTGGATGCACATAACGCTGGGTGAGGAGGCGGATTGCTCGCCAAGTAATTCTGAGCGTGCGTACCCGCGCGTGCCTTTCTCCGCTTGCCTGCCGATGCTATGCGCCGAGGATGCTGGTAGCTCCGAAGATATTAGGTCATCCTACAAGCAATACCGTTTTTTTTTCTTTTTTTTTTTTAAGGAATAAAGGAGATTCGAAAAACTGTTCTATGATAATAAATATAATAGGAGGTTGGACTACAGGCGTCTAACAGGTATTGTTAGCGACAATTTGCAGGGTCGTCCCTTTCTAATCGATGCACTGAAAGTTGGAGACTTTGACGAAATTGAAATACGTTCAAATCCATTTCGAAGTAGACAGTACTCGTGATGTTGCGATCTGAGAATTTGTTTAAAATACACGGAATGTCAAATTTGACGAGTATTAAATATTTGTTTAAGAGCAGTGTTTAAGAGCAGTGTTTAAGAGCACCGTTTCTAAATAGCTCGGTATATAAAGTGTTAAGATGACATATTTTCTGCACGTTGCATATAAATAACAAAAACGTGTATTCGAAGGATTTATTTCGTGGGCCTCCTTCGATCGACACCTAGGCTAACAATAAGCGTTGCCTATAGAGCGACTCGCTATTGCGCATGAATTAGGAGCATTATGGCTTTTCGCTGATTCCGGCTGTGATTTCGCTACATAGGTGCTCGTTATAGCAAAGTTCGACCGTGGTTTTGCTTTTTCATAGAACCCGAGCTGCTCGAGCAACTGGTAACGTTGAACGATCGCAAGAAAGGGGATCGCCGAAAGGAGTCACGAGACTCGACGCATCAATGAAGCGTTCAATCCCTCGCGATCGTTCGAGAACACCGATGAAATATCAAATTCTTTCTGATACGTACCACGATAATCGATGGAATGACTTCTTCATGCTGCACCTTCGAGGCTAAGAGTCAGCTCGCGGGCTCGAAAGATCATTTGGATCGTGTTGATCCGGATTAGCCTTCCCACGATGCAACGAAATGCGCGAAGCGATTTGTCATGTTTACATTTAATCGGACCTCGGCGCAATGGAGGGATTGCGACGGGAGAAAGGGGTGGTTCAAATTTTTTCAGGACGTGATCTCGACCCGCAGGTTTCTTTAGAGAAACATATACTACGGAATTTTTTTTACTTCGGAATGGCGCAGAAAGGCCAATCTTTGTACGAACGATAAAATTGTTTTTCTAAATACGTCCTGATACGTATTCTTTAAAATTTTCGTTCTGTACGCGAACGTAAGCGTGTTCTGTTCGTCTCTACAAGTCATCTAAATTATCATCAAAAATTGCTCCGGACACGTACACATAACGCTTTCCATTCCCGTCTATCTCGTTGTACATCTCGATTGCTCGATTCCTCGATACGTGGAAATTTCATACATGCTTATTGCATGATGCGCCCCTCGAACTGTTTCTTCTTTGCCTTAATGATTTCCGTATTTGATGAAATGATTCGATTTACGTCAAATCCACGCACAGACGTGTTATTGAATCGTTAATGAGAGACCCTTAATGACTGCTGGATGCGAGTACGGGCTTCGTATAAAACACTCCGATGTAATTACGTTCAATGATTGCGAATTCCTGGCAATTATTAGAAGCATTGCACTCTCCATTGCATAGCACTCTGAATTAGAAATTCTGCAATTGTAGAATTGTTGAAGCTGTACCGTGTTGACTGTAGAGTATATATGTATACTAAATCTAAGAAATTGTAATGACGACGATTATAATAACGACTATACAACAAATCCTCGAACAAATGCGAACGAACAAGATAGAGTAATTACAGTAATGAAGAGAATATATTTACTACGACATTTGCCACGTTGATTATACCATACCTCCAATTATTCTGTATTAAATTATAATTTCCAATCTACAAATTACAAATGTGCGTATTTATATTTTTATCCATTTATGCGATCATATAGTTGATACAAATTTCTTTCGATAGTATTTACTTCAAATGTCGCTTCTCTTTTGTTCAAAATATAATAGAAATTTCTTTTATTCTGCAAATGTTACAACACGAACTTCACTTCCAATCTTTTTTCTATTCTTGTACATTGTTTGCATTTTGTAGGTTCTTGCATATTCAAATTTCCTATAAATGCATAAAGATCCGCAGGTCTAGTCGTCGCACAGCTGAAACCAAGGAAGACAGAAACTAACAGGACGGTTCCTAAATTCGCGAGGTACGCGAACGAATGCGCGAGCGACTGTACGTCCTAAACATCCCTGACATTTTCTTTTCCACCTCGAGAAAGAGGTTGTCCAGAATTGAATGGGTCGAAAAAAACAAAAGTGGCGCAGTACTCGCCTTCTCCGGGTCAGTCCAGGCAAGGTTCTAAGGCAATGTGAGGCAAGGTGAAACGAAGCAAGGCAACGCGCATCATCATCCCCCCTTTCTGTTTCATGGGGGCCCCGGTCCCAACACGTTCAAGTATCATCTTATTAGAGCCACGCTATATAAACCCATCCTGCCAGCATGCCCAGCAGTTACGTACTGACTTTATTCACAGCTGTGTGCCGGAGTGCAACGATATTGTTATACGACGAGAACACGTGCTTCATCCGAACTGTATCCGTGTAATCCGACGTAGGTCCGATTCCGAGGACGGGCCCGAAAGACCTAGACTTCCTCAGACCTCGGCGACACTTCAGCGGCACTACCCCTACGGCGCTGCTCCTCTGATCCCGATTCTTCACGGGACCAGGAATCTTTTATATCTCTGTCGAGTGATACCTTGTGGAAGATACATCTCGAGTGTCTTCTGTGACTTCTTTAACGAGAACTGGAGACTACTTTCTTCTTCGTCGCCAGATCGTTGCAATTCTTCGTTAACGTTGTTTTGCGACATTGCGTTCCATTGGGAAACTACTATAGTCGCGGATGTAGCGCTTCCAGCGCGATCTCAACTTCAACAGAGCTCTATCGATTCGATTTTTCGTTAACGTTGTTTCGCTGGATTGCGTTCCTTTGGGAACTTCGTCGTAAATCTATCGATTCTTTTCTTTTCTGAATTTTTCACGTTTTCTTCTTTCCGTTTTCTTTCCCGAATCTTTTTATTTAACGTCGCATCAACTGCAAGGTTGTTAGCGATCACGCCTTGCCTAAAAATTGCAATTTATTATAGTTATCGTAATATAGAATCTTTTATATCTCTGTCGAGCGATACCTTGTGGAAGATACATCTCGAGTGTCTTCTGTGACTTCTTTAACGAGAACTGGAGACTACTTTCTTCTTCGTCGCCAGATCGTTGCTATTCTTCGTTAACGTTGTTCTGCGGCATTGCGTTCCATTGCGTTCCTTTTCGTTTTCTAAAGACGTAGTTGAACGCGAAATGTCCGTAAAGAAATTCCACTATCGACGAGCTAGTACTTCTTTGTGAACTAAAAAACTGAAACGTAAATCTTTTCGTATAGAATCGATTGCACGCGAGAAGCTAAATTACGGGTAGAAATCAAATGATTCTTAACTGATCTTTTCAACATCTCTTATAAAATAATGAAACTTGACTTAAACGTCTTAAGCTTAACTTAATCCGTCTGTGCAAGCAAATTCCGACAAAGAAAAAGGTCCTTTTAACGGTATATAATCGCTGGAATAGTACATAAATCAAGAGTTTTTATCTAAAGTGAATAGTCAACTGATCCGGTTGTCGAAGATTCACCAACAGAGAAAGCCAAGTTCCTGTACCCGTGATTCCCATCAGGGAGTGGTGTGTATGCATGCAATGCTGCCAACAATCGTACCGAAGTTAGGGTGTGGTTAACCGTGAAATGTCGCTGAGGTCTATTCAACCCTTTATGTCGTAAAGCGCGCATTAAGTCGGATCACGATAATTTATGCTTCCATTATTGGATGCGCTTGAAAATTGTAATTCTGTGCCCTTTCGTACATTACTCCATGCCTCGAACTCAAACCTGGGAATTCCTCGTTCTCTACCTTCATTTATACTTGATTCGATTTTGTACTATTCCAGTGCTTTTATAAAGAGTCGACTTCCCATTCCCCACAGTGAACGTTCCGAAAAGCGGTGCGTGAGTTAATTTCGACACGCCTGGGTCAACATTGGTGCCCCAACAACATGTTTTACCTCCAGGTATGTGCCTCGAATTGATTAACGTTTAACTATTTGTACAACTCACTTAACGGTCAATATTTACCACTGGTACATCTGACTGGAACGTTTTTTAGTAACGAGAAAAATTGATGTATTCTTTATTTAGCAACGTTTTACCTAAGCATGCTAGTCCTCTTCAAGTTCAGACATTAGCTTAACCCGCGCTCAAAATTACCCCAAGCGCAACTTTAAGCTAGAATTACTATAAATGATTAATTCTATGAAAATATATTACAAATTTCCAGTTATGATTTTTTTTTTTTTTAGTAAAAAAAAAATATTTTTTTTCACGCATTGCCTCCTTGCTGATTTTTTTTCGCAATTTTGTAAACGCGATACAAATTTTGTCCACGATACTCTCGTTCCGAAAGGTTCAAACTAATATCCTGAATTTTTATGAGTCGTTCGGGACGATACCGGCAACGCGGAAATCGTTTAAACATGACTGCGGTCATTCGGACCCCCTGTGACCGACGCGTTGTTTCCAGAACGTGTGACCTCGGAGATGTTAAATAAATAGTAGAAAATGATCGTAAAATATTTTAACAAATTAATCACACAAATATCACGAGAATATCACGAAACAGCAACTTACAAACAATTCATCGTAGTATAAGACAGTGTTGTAGAATCGAAATACTAATGAAAAATTCAAAACTTAATTTATAAATATTTTTGTTTATAATTATTCATGCATCGTTCTTTGTTTTCTTTACTTTTAATGTAAGAAGTAGTTGCGACTAAATCAAGCAGAATTTAATAATCGAAGATAGAAACATGTGGTGTGAATAAACCGTAGACGAGTACGATCGTGAAAAAGTCGATCACGTTGCCTTCGATTTCGATAAGACATTCCATCTACCGCGTTATAAAAGAAGCATCGAGAGATACACACAGATCCCGAAGTAATAGTCCGCCGAGTGAAAAGTGATAAGTAACACCGACGCCTGAAGTGTTGTTTGAAACCGTGAACACCGCTTCCTTCGGCCGTGTAATTATTATAATTAATTACAGCCTCCCTAGCGGTAAGCCTCGCGACGCATAAATCTCAATTCACGTGGCCAGACGGCAGAGGTGTCAACAAATTATCGCGAGTTATTCCTCGGCGTCGCGTACTCCTCGCGGATTCTGCGATTCATCAGGAAGGAGATGAATCACACGCCGGAGATTTGTAATTGATTTATCGATATGCATACGTTCGCCAATCGCCTCCGGGCGCCGAGGAATCCCGACGCGACTACCGCCAGAGTCGAGATCAAATCTTCATTTCACCGCGATCGTGATTCGTTCGTCCGAATTCTTTCAAGTGTTCGGAAAAAGCTGATCTATAATATTCGTACAGATGCGACGGTAATGGATCGTTTTTGATACAATTCTTACGATTGCGTTGGAAACCCAACAATTACAATATTCAAGTTTCTTATTCGCCACAGGCGAATTTATACATCCTATCAAATCGAATTCTAACATACGCATCTTTCATTTACGTGGGAGAGGAAAAAAAAAAGAATATGTATTTAATTTGTAAAATTCGTTCCCAGTGTTTCTCTGTTAATGACAGCCTTTCTAATTTGAGAGCGATCTTTTCAACGTGAAACCGATCTCGCCGTTTCCGAATACAACAATGCTTCTTGGCATTTTTGTTTTAACCCGCACACGGTCATATTAATTTCGTGATCTGAAACCGGATCTGACGAGGAACGAAACCAGTAAGAAGGCATTCGCACGCATTTCTTTGTGCCGGAGCCGGCGAAGTCGCGAATTAGAAATGAGGCGGAAGATGCGTAATTAATTCGTTGCGAAACTACTGCAAATAAGCGACATATTCACAGCGTGAAATATCTTCCCGCAGTTATCTCGCGCAGTAAGTAACTCCTTAATTCTTTTCACCAGCTTCTGGTCGCAATAATTTGTTTCTATACAGGGTGTTCTAGCATCGGTGGTACAACCGAGGTGGGGGTGATTCTACGTATAAGAAACAAATCGAAAGTAAGGAAGAAGATTTGTTCGTTTGAGGTTACGTTTGGAAAACCCGCGAAAATGGTGAAATGTGAAATTACTGCAAGTTTGAAAAAAAAGTACGAGTTCTTTGGTTGAAAAAAAAAAATCACTTTAACTTGATAAAAAAGTTGTTTAAAATTTTAGGTATGAATTTATTTAGTTCACATAGAAGAAATATTAACTAAGATGAAAGTTTCTTTTGATTTTTTTTGTGGCAGACCAAAATTACGACCTGCATCTTTCCCGCCGATAGGAGGTTTTAATTGTGAGCTGCTCTACAAATGTACGTCGCAGACGAATCGATTCGAATATTTCTTGTTGAACAAATTTCTACAGACTACTCAAATATGTATGAAAATAGGATAAAAAGTTCGATAGAATTAATTACTTTTTTTTCCATCTGAAAAAAATTCACGAGAAACCGCCTTTATTTTAGACCTCCTAATCCAGTATACCCCCTTAACACGTTGATCGCCATGTCACCCATATAATTACGGAACTAAATACCACGATAAATGTTTCATTGCCTAGACTCCGATAGTCTAAATAATATTTAATCTTAGCAGAAATTTATCAAGAATATTCGTTTGGCAGTCAACGCGTTAAGGCATCGATCACTATTGGTCAATACGTTCGTAACAAGCTAATTGTTGCCGTCGCTTATAACACGTGTCCTAACAAGCTAACCTTACGAAATACGAGGGCATCCTCTCCGTTCAGTTCGTAATTGAGGAAAACGTTGTCCGCGTTAAATCCAGCACCGCGCTCGCCTCGACCGTCGCATTATACATCTGTCGTCCTATTACCAAATCTGGTACATCAGTTTGCAACACGCCAGCAGTTCATTACGTTCTCATCACGATTATCCGCAGCTGACACGCGTTTTGTTAGAGAGAGGAAACGCGGTACTATTAAAAGTTGCGCGTCGAACGATTATTGCACGGTAATTGAATGCGATTGTGTAAATGAGAGTAGGAGGGCGGGAGTGGGAGGGACATTTATTTCTGAAGAGGCACTTAAATCCTGTCCCTGATTTATTCATATAGAACCGGCGAGGCTCGTTGGCATTGTACCTACTTTTAAATCACTTACGAACGATATATGTATGACGACATTTCACAGTACGATTCATAAACGGTACTATTTTTTTCTAGTTAAGTATTTGCAATTTTTTTTGTTCCCCTTGTAACGATTCAATGAAGAATAGGAATATTTATTTCAACATCTAGTTGTTGATTCGAGAACTAATAATTGACTGATATCGAGCTTTTTAAATAAATAATTATCCCGAAAAGTGTGGCGCCATCTAGCGGCGTGAGGTGGGAACTATTTCACGACAAACTTGGGGGGTTCGCCGAGAGATGGAGCCACATTTTTCGGTATTTTTTTTATTTATTCAAAAAACTTGATATCAGTTAATTATTAATAACTAGATGTTGAATTATGATAATTATAATGTAAAATCACAATATGATTAACAATATCAGATATAACAAATATCGATTACATGTTTTATTGCAGATAACAATACTCTGCATGGCAGTGGTGTACGTCATCTGCGATTTACCTCCAGGAACAAGACGTAACACGTACCTGCCTCCCGAGCCAACGAAGGGTTACAATTACGATACGCCACGGATACCATTCCCCAAGCCCTCGACCTCCAGACCACCCTTTTCATCAACAACGCCTTATCCAAGCCGAACAACGCGTCCTTATCCTAATCCAAAACCAACCCCGAAATTCCCGCCGTCGAGGCCAACTCCTGGCGAGGGTTATCCGCCGCCAGGTCCGAGACCCACTCCAGAGTTTCCAGACTATGGAGTACCGACCGGACCTACTGGAAACACCATTACTCCCGGTGGAGTAAGTAATAATACCGTAAACCGTTTTTCAGAAACAGCACATATACAACTACATGTAGTAGCCAAAGTGATATAAATATGAAATAATAATCATTCTTTTAACATACAGTAATCCAACAAGCAGAAACGATTCTTCTATGTAAGTAACAAAGTTCAAGCATTCAGCTAAAGGATCCTTAGTTGTTCATTTTTTTAGTTCATTTGTATTATCGACCGTTAATTTTAATACGTGTGTATGTATGTATACACCGTATGTATTTGTGATTAAAGCGTAGCCTATACTACTGCGGCTGCCTAGTGCGTAGGCTATGCTACTGCGGCTGACTAACGCGTAACCTAGGCTACTGCGGCTGACTAACGCGTAGCCTAGGCTACTGCGGCTGACTAACGCGTGGCCTATGCTACTGCGGCTGACTAATGCGTACCCAATTCTACAGCGACTGTCTATCGCGTAGAAACTCGAGATGCTTTCTTACCATTTTATTGCCAGGAATGCTAATCTTAGAAACTAAACCTAAAGAAACATTACTGCTGATAGATTTGCTGCGTGAATCCTAGTGGTGAGTGAGTCGCCTCTCGAGTGCAAAGGGTTAATATTTCTTTAATCTCCTCGGACAGTTTCAAAACAAAAAGTTTCAATAACAAAAATGAATTACACCTAGAAATTATATGCATTAGAAAAATACATTATCTGGACCAAACTCTCCCCTTAATAATAAACCAACAGTTACTCAACCCTATTCAATAATCGATAGAATAAATTTTACTCCAAGCAATTAATTTTAGCATGATCACCACCATCACGAGCCAGGCATGCCGTTCGATTTTAATTACGCAGTGAAGGAGGATGCATTCGGCAACGACTACTCCCACAACGCAATTAGCGACGGCGACATCGTTCGCGGCGAGTACAGAGTCCAACTTCCGGACGGAAGGACGCAGATCGTTCGTTACACCGCCGACTGGAAACACGGGTTCAGCGCGCAAGTCTCCTACGACGGAAATCCCCGTTTCGACGTTCCTCGGCCGCCGGGCAGCTTCGCTGGCTATTAATTGTAACATGGTGCCTAGGGGTTGCAAACTTGTACGATATTTATCTCTTCGTGCCCTCGCCTAGATGCAGCGAATGTCTATTATTTTCTTTTCTTATCTTTTTTTTTTCCTTAACTCATGACGGTTTGTTTGATCGCAAACATAAGTAAATTACGATGGAAACGAAATTAAAAATAAACGCAACGTAGATCGTTTTTATTATTGGTTTACCATCATTATAGAAAATCGCATTAAACATAATCGCAAGCGAAATACTTTTATGAACTAAAGAATAATTCGCGAAAGGTGAACACGGTAGATATTTTAATCATAAGGCAAATTGTCTGAAACTGTTATGTGAATCGAAAACTATACGGTGTGCACGAAAGGGTTTAGTACACGTTTGTTTCGCGGTTTTTATAGTTCTCACCGTGCAGGTTCGACGTCCCTTCGACTTCCATTCGTTGGCAGTAATCAGACATGGGCAAAATGAAATTTCGAATAATGGATGACGAATAATAGCAACGTGTAATGATTTATTCGCGGTACTGTAATTTTATTTACAATTCAAATTTTAATTTTTGTTAAACGAATAACCCACAAAAAATCGTTTATCTTTCATCCGTTATTCGAAATTTTCATACAGATAAGAATTTTGTTCAGCTTTGTCTCTAATTGCTCGAATCGTCTAGATAATTAAAATTTTTATTTTACGTTTTATGTCGCTTCGTTTACAGTTGGTATCCACTGCTAGGATTGCTATCCGTGTCAAATATGAGAAAAGTACATAATGAACTTCGATCTTCATTACGCGCTACTTTACTTCTCTTATTTATATTTCTATATATTTAAAAGTCATGATACAATGAATTATGGTAAAAATGTTGTTTTTTATTTTTGAGAAATAATAGAAGTGAAATAATTGGTAAACACAATCTCTTGTGAATAAATGAGTAATATTAAGTTACCTGATAGCTAGTTGACAACAAATTATTGATGTAGTGTATATACCGAACTCAGACCAAAATTATTATTATACCATGTTTAGCATATATATGAAATATGTATAATACCAAATGGACCAATATTATTAATGTATCTATAGAAGATTATGATTACATATCATTTGCCCTTTTATTATTCCTAAACAATGAAAAACATCAATTCCTACCATAATTTTATTGGAAAAGAAAAAACATGTATCATTATTTCCAAACTCGAAAAAAGCTGAGGACAGAAAATGTTTAGAAAAAGATTGTTATTCCTGGAATAACAATTGTAGAAAAATAATACTAATACAAATAATAATTGTGGAAAATGCTTCAATAATTCCAATTAAATAATTAATCTTGGTAAAGAAATATATTTAACGAATTTGTTACATAATAGATATTGTCAGGTAAATGCATATTACACGACAACATATGGTTGAAAAGTACAGTTTAACGGGTAGCACTCTTCTTCAGGATCTGCAATTGTATTCGCGGAACCTAAACAAAAGAAAATTGTATTTGCAATTGCAAGTGGTTAAATATTTGATAATTTTTAATATCCCTGCCGGTGCAAATTTTAGATTTATGTAATCAAAGATAACACTTTAGTCCAGAGTATATTTTTTATTCTTCAGTTAAATGTGTCCAATGGACATGAACACGTAGGAGGTATAAAATAAAAAATTGTTAAAATCAAAGTGTATTTTTTTTTTCTATACATGAAACACCATTTACCTTGTAGCGATAACATTTAATGAGGGCGTCAACGAAACAAAATACTAATCCTTCACAATCGTCCGTTAGAGAAATGATCAATTATTCAAATATTCCTTCTTTAAAGAATTTAAGAAAAAGATTTGATATTATACGAACTTTTTTGTAAAGTTCATTCAAAAACGCAAATTATGAAAAAAAAGAACATCTTATTTGGTCAATTTTTGGAAGAGTTATAGCTATTTGAAAACAAAACGCCATTTCTTTTTTTTAATTCAAAACTTTTTATTTGCCAAGTAAAAAAATTTGAAAAAAACATCACAGAAAGGTATTTAGTAGGTTACTATACATACAAATTTCAGTCAAATCAAAAGTGGTCGATTTGACATGGAAATCGTGTATGTACAATGTATACGATACTTGAATTTCATATGTATATATTTCTAAATTATCTCCATTTATTAATTAATATCTTACTTATTTCTAGAACATATCTTTCTAGAAAAAAAGAACTTCTTTCTCCCCGAGAAAAAGACTACATTCGATGAATACATATGCTGTTTGTTGTGATGGTTTGTCGCCATGGTTAAATTGATCGTCGGACATGTGCACTGAAAATATTGTACATCACTCCCGACAATGTTGTAAAATGTTTCGTTCTTCATTGAATACTACAATGATTTACTGTTTTTCTTCTGTTTTGATATGTCATTTAGCATTTGATTACCTTAAGACTTTATAAAAGAAGAAGGATAGTCGTGACCGAGTGAAACGCTTACCATATTACAGTAACAATTGTAACTTTACTGCTCAAAATGACTCTACCGTTATCGAGAATAGACTACGCAGCTGTGGGTGTTACATCCCGAGGTTCAACGAGAATGTTCTATGCAACAGAACACAGACAAACACAAAAGTTTGCGGTTGCTGATCATGATGGCGTACTACATGTATATGGTAAAAGTATAAAATCGTTACTTCACTACTTTTTCATGTTGTTTTCGTAAACTGCTGAACATGCAATTGACATTAAATGTAGGAATGAAGAAGGGGGTGTTACAGGTGTCGTTTAAATCTCTGCCTGGACCAAAGATTAATAAACTGGTCCTGGGCGGGACTATACGTGATAAGATTTACATTGCACATGGAAATACTGTAAAGGGTTATACGAAGAAAGGAAAACTGTTCTTAGATTTCGACACAAATCTGATAGATCCCATTTCAGCAATGTAAGTTTATCCTCTGTAACCAATGCAAGAATTTACATTTAAATTTAGTGATGCGCACGAGACGAGATTTCTACGATCTCGATCTTGATCTCGAAAAATCTCGAAACATGTATATCAGTTCAAAATATGCCACTATCTGTTGTGTTATTAGAAAAGATATACAAGTTTTCCAGTTCTTAGATTATACGGATTTAAGAATTACAGTTCGCACAGAATGTAAAAACATTACAAATAGAATAATTTTGATTAATAATGCAAGAAAACAAAATTTCAGAAAATACATATGTCGTAGTTTGATCTGTAGTTTAAAAACACAAATTGTCGTGATAATTGTCTAACATTTTCCAATAAAAATCCTTCTTCCAGCGATCTTCCCACTTTCGGAAGCACTCCTTGTATTCAACTTCCGGAATAGCTAACAGTCGCTGCGCCACTTCATATTCCTCAAACAAATTATATCATTTTTAAAATGAAGAATAAAACATAAGTTAGAAACCCAAAGCACAGTTTAAAAAAAATAAAACATATGGTTTGTTTTATTTCACCTTATAAGTCACATAATTTGACTAATTTCTGGAGAAGGTTCCAAACTAGAAACTAAAAACGTTAAAGTAATATTATGTTCGCTAAGACTTCGTGAAGTGTGTATTTTATTTCAAATACAAATATAACGAATGGCTCGATTTTATAAGACTTCTTTACATTAAATATTTACTACCTGCAATATTCCTTTCGGACTGCATAGGTGCGTGATTGGTCCAGATCTTGCAGCGTGCGCCAAGGATCTTTATCACAGATACCATGATTGCAAGGATGCAGACTCTTATTTGGCTGGTGAAACCTTATACGACGTTGTTCTTTTACCTGCTGACAGTTCTACCGTCTACGCGATTCTTGCTTGCGGAGATTGTGCTGTAAGCATTTGAATTAATCACGCTCGAACAATGCACTTTGTTCTATGTTAACGACGTTTGCTTCTTCTAGGTACGAGTTCTTCATGGTACAAAAAGTCCAGCAGTTCTTAGACTTCCAAGTGTCCCTACAGTATTATCTTTATACAGGTTCTCGGTTATTCTGCATCTCATTTTTAATTATATATGGTATACTTTGTATTGTTATGATATTGTGATATTTTTTAGGGAGGGTGACGTTGAATCTAAAGATCGTGTTCTGGTCGGAACCATGGATGGTAGAGTAGGTCTATTGATTCTTCAGGGTAACAAAACTCTGAGAATCACTTGGTTGCTAAACATGACAGGTTCCGAAGTTACTTCTTTAGACACGTATGAATTACAAGATGGTTTGGACATACTTATCGGTCGACAAGACGGCACTGTTGAAGTGTATAGTTTTCCTGATGAAGATACGTTACCGCACCTTCGCTATCGTTACGTAGGTATATCGAAATTCGGTGGAATGCTTTATGAAGACTTCATAAAATCTTGAATGTGTTTATCTATGTCTTCTCCTGTCACTCTCGGTAGCTTCTTTTAACATTAAATTTTAACAAGAAACAGATTCAATAGGAATAAACAGGAATTTCTTAACGGTGTAGGCGCTACTAAAAACCTATACATTTTAGAATGCCAGCGAAAGTATCAGTTCGGTGGTAGGTGGAGTAATTGGAGCTGCAGGATATCCTGAGGTTCTAGTTACAACATATTCAGGACGAATATTTGGTTTGACTACTAGACCACCTGGACTCTTGGAAGCTGATCAAAATGACGGCTTAGCGCGGCTGAAAAACGAAATACAACAATTGCAGGAGAAACTTAACGAAGAAAAGGAAGCAGCCACTTTCACAGTCGACCCTTTAGCGCCGTTAATTTTATCAGTGAATCATAGGTAAAACAATTGTCATTCTTGTATATACACATTTCAACAGTGGAAAGACAATTAAAGAAATCACTTTCAGGATGGTCTTGAACAAAGAAGACGCGTCATATTCGCTTTCCATAGAACTTGATACACCGATTGATAACATTTTGGTACAATCAGACACACCAATAAAACTATTAGATGTGGAAAGTAATAGTGCAGTGGTTAGTCTTTCTGCTTGCAACTTTAGAGAAGGCAATTTTTTACTTGCTACCTATCGCTGCCAAGTGAGTAAAAGACTTGATGTTTAAGTTTTTAAAATGTAACTTAAGAAATCTTTAAGATCTTCATAAACTAGTTATTACTTTCATAGGTAAACACTAATCATCTTGAAATGAAACTAAGAACCATCGAAGGTCAGCCAGGTACTTTACAGATTTATGTAACTTCACAGGTATGCGTCACATATTTCTTCTGCATGTAATGTAAAGCAGAAGTATATGAAAAATGTCCAACAAGTTTTTTGTAATGTAGGTACAGCCAAAATGTTGTCGCAGAATATTAATACCTATATATGCCCTTTCCCTTCATGTAAGACAACATGAAGATAATGGTACGGAATTCTCTGGAAAGTCCTTTAATGAATTAAAATTGAATGGGTGCTTTACAGTTGCTGAGGTAAAATTTCAAACTGTGAAAATGCAATTTGAAATAGAAAATTCCATTCTACTACTTTACTACGAATTCTCATTTTAAACCAATGGAGTACCTACAATAGTTTTGAACTTTATGAAAACCATTTTTAGTTAAATATATTCTGATATACTTTAGATGCATGCCTGGCTTTCATTAGCATTACCTGATGTTCCTGAAAGACCTCACTTGGAAGAAGGTGAAGCTACTTTAACATATGTTTCATCTTTTGTAGGCACGATCCTGAAATGCACATACAAGTAAGTTCTTTGTTACACTGATGATATACCGAATTCAAAGTTTTATTTATTTTTAGAAAAGGAAATGCCATTTTCCTTGGTGAGAATATATCCAGCATTATAATTCTCAGAGATATATTGACGAGAGAAGCAACAAAGAGGAAAATCAAATTAGATGTATTTTGTGGTACGTTACCATTATACAACAGTGTCGATTATTTTTTACAAGCAAAAAATTAATAAAAATCTTTACCTTTGTAAACTTTGTTGTCACATTATAACTCCTTGTAAAAGGACTCTTCAGTTGAAAAAAAATATCACCACAGATGTTGCAGAGAGAAGTATATCCAGAGTGCTGGAATTAATTCTTCCACGAATGAACACAGTCCATGAATTAATTACAAAAGTAAGAATTTTGAATGCATTAGAAGAATGGGAGCTGAAAGAGAATCCAAAACAAAATCTGTGCTTGGAATACCAAGGATTACTAGAGGAAGAAACAGAAATCAAATCACAAATAGCAAAGGATAATGAAATTTTAGATAGGTTGCATGGTGTAATTACTGATCTTTATGTTGATTGGGAGAGAGCTAAGCGGTCTCGTAGGTAAAGTATAAATAATGTGACATATATTGACAATATATTACAATTAACAAATGCTTCTCATTCATTACACTAGCAAAACATTAATTTGAATTAACCAAATTTTGCATCTCAGTTTTTCTTATCATTCATCTTTTCTATTACCAATTGAAATTTTAGTTAACCTTTAATGTTTCACTCTTATTCAATCAAAAAAAAGAAAATACTTTTCTTCTATCATATTATTACTTACAATATATCCATCGTTTTTTTTTTAATTGTATGATATAATATAAATTATAATAAAAAAAGTTTAGGAACATAATTTACAATGTAATTATAGAGAAATAATTGATAATTATTCTATCAGTAACAAAACTGAAGAATCTCATTATGTTTTACAAATATCAAAAATCAGAATTTATTTAAGGAAGTAATTTTTTTTAAAATTAGGAGTTTCAAATAAATTGCACCACTTACTACATACAATTCATATGTTTCAGAATTAGTAGCAAAGATGCAGCTGAGAAACTCAACACAGCTCTTGAAACCAGAGAATTGACTCAACTTTTACACATTTTCATTGATACAAATAACACGGTGCCTGCACCATCTTTAACACCTTCAATTATCTAAGACTGAACTACAGATTCTTTTTTTGTGGAGAATGCAATAAAAGTGGACCACAGTGTTTCTATAAATGTCTTCACGTAAAAAATATATTCTTCAATGATGATTCGCGATACAAACGACTAACCTTATCTATGTAGACTTACGAATGTACATACATGCATACAGAATGTAACTGCAATAGATAACTAAATGTTAGGAAAGTATTTCGCTCATTCTAAATATAGGAAAAAGATCATATAAAATGAATTAAAAAATTCTTCCTTTACAAGATATATATTTTGTTAAATCGTTAAAAAAATAGTAAAAAATGAGATTCCTTCGATGCAAAACCGGCATTTTTCATAATTTCTTTGCGTTTTTTGTTTTTTTACAGCTTGGATTTTTAATTGAAAAATTTGAAAAAATTCTGGAACATGTAACTTGCTAACTGAAATGTCTCTGACTTTTTTCAAAATTTATCATGCAACAGAACGAGAGAAATTGGTTAAAAACGTGATTTTTGTTTGTCTTGTTTACTCCCAACCACCAGTCGAGATAGGGATTTCAAATTGGCACAGATTAATCTTTATTGATAACCTATCGAATATATTATTGCAAATCGAAATCGGTCTAAGGATACTGTTGATCCCTAAAACCGGCTATACCCTTTGAAGTGTTTATACATCTGAAAAGAAGACTTTTGGAACTCATGCTTATACAATATTTGCTCATCCTCAAAATGAATAAAATGCACTCCTAAAAATTTGGTCACAAATTTCAGTTATACTCTGTATTTATATACATATAATATATGTATCTTTATGCAATTAAACTGATGTATGTTTTTAGGTTTTTTTCTCAGTTTTGTACTTTCATAAGTTTCCTGCTAAAACAGTCTTAAGAATATTATATAAACACTATATTCATCGCGCTTCTATAAATGTATACTGCAGAGAAACTGGAAAGTACACTATGCACAATTACATAGGTAGTGCGTTGATGTATAGGACTTCGATCAGTCATTTACAATGAAGGTCTGCTACTCAATGAAGCACCATCCGTGTGCAAGAGACTTTTCACGTTCTAACTTCACGTTACTTCCACACGCTGGATTGCATATTAAAGAACAAAAGCAGTCTTCAATTTTATTCCAATAATAAACGTTACATGAAGAAATACTGCCTGTAAAAACAATACACACTAAGTTTTCACACAAATAAAACCACTGTATAGAAATTTATTTGCAATCTTTAAATTAATAAATTCATTTTTCAATTCAGATTGTAAAGAGTTTTCCAAATATGACTTTATTATTTTGTTTTTTAATAATAAAATACACCTGTCATGGTGGACACTTGAACAAAATCATCTCTTACATTTAATTGTAATCATGTATATATGTATGTATATTTTCAAAATAAAAGGACTGGATACATTCTGTACCATTTGTGTTTGATTACAAAGTAAAATTCTAAGGCCCCTTTTGCAAAACTCTTACTTCTACTTTTTATTGAAAAGTAATGCATTGAAAGTTAATTATCTTTTATTTATTATTCAAAGTCGTTCTTTAGATTTAAACTGAAACAAATAAACTTACATGTTATCGGTAGTACGTACAACTGCTTCCAATGGATCTCTTTCTTGACTCGTATCTGATGTAGTTGTCACAGTGTATTCTAAAGTTTGTCCTCCCGCGTGTGGTAAAATACATTCAGGATTGTCATCTGGTGGAACAGTTTCCATGACTCCTGTTCCTTCCACTTCTAACTTTAGATCCCTAACAAGATCATGAATTGTTTTGGCTTGCGCTCCTTTATCATTCTCATCCTCTATAGTTTTCCCTGATATAACTCTGTTTAAAGGTCTATCTGCCCTTGTTCTAGAGTGTGTATGCATATGCCTTTTCAAGTCACTTCCCACTCTAAATAGTTTTCCACATACTGTGCATGCATGTGGTTTCTCACCAGTGTGAATACGACGATGAATTTGTAGGTAACTGCTTGCTCTAAATGTTTTGTTACAGTATTCACATCGATAGTTTCTCTCGCCAGTATGGATTCTTCTATGAACAATTAAGGAGTATTTCCGTGCAAAATCTTTGCCACAATATTCACATTGATATTGTTTTTGTTCTGAATGAATGCTCGTCGAATGGTATTTCAAGTCTCCCCATTGACGAAACTGTCGTCCACAATCTTTACACTTGTATGGCTTATCACCACTATGAAGGCGTTTGTGAACCTACATTTTGAATAATTTGGTTAACGGAGGCAAATCATATTTGAGTTAATTACAGTGATTCACAGTCAAAATACAGATTCTATAATTACAGTATACAAGGTGAAATACTTAAATAACTCATACTGTTGGAAATGGACAAAATTGCTAAAAAAAAAGCAGCAAAAAAGTTTTGTTTAGTTTTAAGAGGGACATAATCCGATGTCAGTAGTTTCTTTGTAATTGAAGTTCATTTAGTCCCAGGTGGGTTCCATTTTTTAAAATACAAACTTCCACATGATTTTGTTTGCGAGTCACTGTATATAATGTCAATATCCATATCACCTTTAATGGACTAGCTGTAAAGAAACTTTTTCCACAAACTTCACACTGATGCGGTCGTTCTCCATTGTGACATCGCATGTGATACACTAAACTATTTTTATGATGGAATAACCGATCACATTGAGGACATGACCATTCTTCGTCTATGAAAATAAACGACTCTATTAAAGAAATTAAATCAAAGAAGAGACTTTTGTATTGTGAGTCGCTGTTTTACACGAATTTGTGCCTCTACGTTATGTTCTTGTTCGAGTTTTCTATATGAGAATGTAAATTCTTAAAAATTTTAATATGTTAAGTATCTTGTTTGCTTTTAGCAACAGAGAAAAGTGTTAAGAGAGAAATAAATTTTTTTCAAGACCGTATTGTTTGAGATTTCAAGGTCACAGAAATTTTCTTCATAATACATTCTCTACAAATTCTTCCAAAATATTAAAAAACTGTATTGAAGTTAATATACATTACTTTTTAAACCCTTGTTAAATTAAATTTTTTTTCATTAACATTTCTATCATAACTGTTTTTCTATTTGGATCAACTGCCCAACTTGTATGAATTTCTTCCAATCAAAGTCACATGAAAATCTTTGTATTCTAGGTTGTTGCATGGAAGACGCGGGAAGCCTTTGATAAATTAATAGCGTAAGTCGAGGTCTTATTATTCAAAAATGTACACACTTGTTTTTCGCGCTTTCAGTATTTTCTTTTTTTTCGTTGTCTGTGGAATATCAGTCTTTTCTTTTTCATGTAATCCTTGTTCACTAACAGTTGGTGGCTTTACATGGTCCCTATGTACATGTTCCGTAATCCCGGTAATAGTCCATATTTGTGATTCATTGTTTACGGTAGATAGCTGAGATTCTGTATCATCGTCTATGTGAGCCCCAGTTTCCTCTACTGTAAATATTTCAAGTGTGTAAGTTAAAATATAGCTTACCAAGAAACAATATTTTCATTTTTATTTGCGTACGCTTACCGACGCCTCTAATGCCTTCCATGAGATCTTCAGGTTCGCTAAACTCTTCGATTACAGTGTTTTCGGGACGCTGAACAGATTCTGGTACAGATATTGTAATATTAGTATTTGTTGCTTGTGCTATTCTTGTTTCCTGCTTTACAGGCTCATAGTGCACCTAGAAATAAAACTATTGTAAGCATTGATTACATTACTATAATCTATAATTAAGACTACAATGTAATCATAAAAATATAACTGCAAACTTGTCTTCCATTTTGAATATAAAAAGTCGAATTACCTTAAGATGCTCAAAAAAGTTTAATTGACTACTAAATTTAGAATTACACAATTCACATTTGAATACGTGAGCTTGCATGTCCCCAGACGATTGTACATTTATGGCATCCGAATTCAGTCTACTGCTATCTTTCCGTGAAGAGGTTCTTTTAGTTTGCTGTTTAAGTTTACGAGGAATTCTCTTTTTATGAGGTAATGATCTCTTTGGTCCAGAACTTGGCGCTGCATCCTCACTACTTTCTGCCGATACATCGATATCGTACTCGGTTTTAACGATAAATTCTTGTTTTATATTATGCGTGATCCTTTTAAAAGGTTGCAAAGTTGGATAGACTGGCGGAGCATTTGGTTCTGGCACCGTTTGAATAGAATATGTATTAACAGGCGTTAATGTTCCTAAATGAGAAACATCTGGTAGAGTTGGATCTTCGTGTTGGGATTGACTATGAAGCTGCTGCTGTTTCTGTTGTTGCTGTAATTGAACGGCAACTAAAGCTGCTGCTAGCCTACGATCTTCCTATATAAAAAATTGTAATTCAGTTTTCAATATGCTAATATAAAAAAACAAAACATTACCTCTGTTAATTCATGTTGTAATAAATCGTCAGCTTCATAATATTGCGTTGCAGTACCATAGTCTGTACCAACACCAGCATTGATCATATCGACAACCATTCTTTCAGAAATTAACTCTCCATTTAATGTTAACAGGGGAACGCTTTTGCTTAGTGGCTCTCCATCTGCTCTTTGAATAGTAATGTACTGTGCACCTTCCATTCCTTCTAACAGTACTGCTTGAGCTTCTTCTGTTGTAACTTCCATAGTTATTTATTTCAGCTGCCAATGGGAAAAAATTTGATCCACTATAATTCCCTTTCCATTTGTACGAGCTATTTGTTTGTGCCTGTAAATGTAAAAAATTTGTTAAAATAATAATTTATTTACATGAAATTATGGAAACTCATTTAAGTCTTAAGAACAGCTGTGTATACTTTCATATATAATGTTAATAATATTACATCTTCGCTATCATAAATAGTCCTTGTCCCTTTATATTCAGTTTTTGTTTTCTCATTGCTGACTAATGAAAATAATTTCCACCTTTACAATGTGTATTATACACATGCCTAACTTTTAAATTCCATTTCATAATTTTATTATTTCTGTAGAAATTTTGCTACAGAAATAAACGGAAATTACAATTGAAAACTTTATATATAAAAATACATGAAATTCGTCCCAAATGTTAAAATAAGTTTTAATAAATATTTGATAAAACTTATATAAAGGATTTTTACTTTCATAAGGTAATTGTAAAAATGTTAGGTTTGAATAAAAACGATAGCATTATTTTTGAAAAGACTTAAACCCAGGCGATCAGTAAATCCCACGTATGGACCGATTGTCCGAATGTGAAATCGTGATTTATATTTCGCGCGCTTGTATACTTTAGAGATGACAGCGGTATCAAGGTCACTGCACCCGGAGCTCTAAAAAAATTTCATTCACAACTTGATTTGCATTCTAGCATAAGAAACGGCCTCCTCTAGTCTTCTTATACCGACCTTCGCAAGTCCGAATGGATTTCTAATCTCCTTTTCGTGGAACTTGAACGACATAAACAAAGCAAAATATTGAAACACTGTAAGACAAAATGTGACAACAGTGCTTGTGTCCTGACGCCATTAGAACGCAGGGCCCCGGCGGGCAGGGGGCAAAGCTCCTGTATTAAAAGTTGGTACAAAGTTTGTAGCGCCGCCTGGATTTGCTTCACCAACTAAAATGTGGACCGCATGCATATATATACGGTAGCGGGTTTTTTAAATTGCTTTAAATTATTTGAAAGAAAGTAAACTAGAGAAAGTGCAGAATTATATTTTTTGAAACGACGAAAATCACTTGCGCCGCGAGTAATAGAAATATTCATAATTTCAAGCTCGGGATTTTGATAACACTTCTACACTACACAGTTAGGACTCCTTATACAGGGTGTTCCAAAAATGTTGTAACACCTTGAAAGAGGTGGTTCGGGAGGTGATTTGAAACAACTTTTTCCTTAGCGAAAATGTTAAAAGCTTCGTTGGGGAGATATTAACGGAAAACCCCGACCAATCAGAGCGTGAGTATGCCGGTGGAGCGTAGGCTACTCGCTGGCCGGCTTCGCTCATACGCTACCGTGGCCGCTTCACCAGTATACTCGCGTTCTGATTAGTCAGTGTTTTCCGTTAGTATCTTCTCAACGAAGCCTCGGACAACATTTTTGCTAAGGAAAAAGTTGCTTCAAATCACCTCCCGAACCACCCTTTTCAAGATGTACAACATTTTTGGGACACCCTGTACAGTCTTCATGTGTAATGCATTTTAACTTAAAAAAAAAAAAAGATTTATTGCGAAACGCAACAACTGGGTGCTTTCCAATTGCAATATCCCTAGACCACGGACATACAAATTCCAATGTCCGTGGTTGAAAACAGAGATGGGCAAAACCCTAGGCTTCGAATAAATCTGAAGTTTGCCGATGTGTTTGTCTCGCTTCCTTCTTTGGAAAATGTTCAAAATTTTCAACCTGAAAATCATACAGTAACTGCAGTTAGTAAATACTATATCTACCAATATTATAAGCATCGGTTATGTTTTGGCGGTAATGTGAACAGTAATGTGAATTGATGTGAATAACGGTGTGGTAGTGAAGTTCATCTGAGCTTAGATTCGCTGATACTTTGTTGTTTATTATTTCAATTAAATCTAACATGGGGATCACCGGTTTACTTCCCTTCTTAGAAAAATCATCCAAAAGAACAAATATTAATCAATTTTCTGGTGGCACTGTTGCTATTGATTCTTATTGTTGGTTACACAAAGGTGTATTTTCTTGTGCTGATAAACTGCAAATGGGACAACAAACTGATGCGTAAGAAAATTATAATCGTTGTCATTATATTATTTACCAAATTTATCGTATAATTATTTATCTTGTTCAGATACGTTCATTATTGTATGAAGTTCGTACATATGTTGCTTGCTTGCAAAATTAAACCGATTCTTGTATTTGATGGACGAGATTTGCCTGCTAAAGCACAAACCGAAGTTAAACGACGGGAGTATGTATAATTATATTTTATTTTTAATTATTTTATTGCATGTCCTAGTCAATATTTAATAGATTTATTTGATTTTAATTATCCAAATTCAAGCAAACGAATTTGAAAATATAATTGGTTGTAATTGGTAATCGATTTATTATTATTTTTTTTATTGTTTGAACTAAATTTGTGTATTTAGGGCTAGACAAACAAACCGTCGCAAAGGTATTGAGTTAATGAAAATGGGTCAGCATGCAGAAGGAAGAAATTTATTACGAAGATCTATAAATATAACACATGAAATGGCTTTAGAATTAATTAAACATTGCCAGAAAATGAATGTAGATTGTATTGTAGCACCATATGAGGCAGATGCACAATTGGCATATCTTAATATTAGTGGAATTGCTGATGTCGTTATTACAGAAGATAGTGATTTAACATTATTTGGTTGTAAAAAGGTTGGTTTCCTTTTATATGCAATTTAAATATAAAAATAATTATGTAAAATTATATTTAATTTGGTATAAATTCGTAATTTTTGAAACAGATTTATTTGTCTTTTTTTTATGTATTCTAGGTATTTTTTAAAATGGATGTAAATGGTAATGGTATTTTAGTTGAACAAGACAGATTACATCTTGCAATGGATATTCGTGCTGAACATTTTAGTATGGATAATTTTCGTTACATGTGTATTTTGTCAGGCTGTGATTACTTACCATCTCTCCCTGGTATTGGGTTGAATAAAGCAAAAAAGTTCATCATGATAAATACGGACTGTGATATACATAGGGTAAATAAATATTCATCAATGTATACTTATAAAATTTCTAAATACCTAAGGATTTTCTATACATAAATTAATTTGATGTATATTCATAGGCTTTAACACGTTTAGGGTCTTATTTAAAAATGAAATCATTAGTTGTAACTCAAGAATATAGAGATGCATTTATATTAGCAGTTATCACTTTTAAACACCAGTTAGTATTTTGTCCTTTATTAAGAAAACAAGTTCGTTTAAATTCACCTGGATCTGATGTGACAGAGGAACAGTTATATTATGCTGGTGAAGAGACAAATCCAGATATTGCATTACAACTTGCTCTTGGAAATTGTGATCCACTTTCTTTAAGACAACTTCATGACTTTGATCCTGATAAAATGGAGGTAAATACTTACAATAAATTCATTTTTAAAAAACTATTTCATTACCATTTTTCTATTTACAATCTGAATATAGAAAGTTATTTAAATTCACATTTCCTAGAGTCAGCGTAATAGTTATACTTCATGGGGGCAAAATACAAATCACCCTGAACATATTAGCATTTGGTCAAGAAGATACAAATTAAAAGAAAATCAACCACAAGTATTTAAAACCAAGAATCTCATGACATGGCCAAATCCAACTGGTAAGGAGATGATGCTCCAAACAAGTCGTATAAATAAAGCTATTTTGGTGAAGCAAGATAATTTCGGTATGAAATTAATGTTTTATATAAATGTTAATAAATGACAGTCAACGAAATGTTCTTAGACATATTTAAACGACTAACTTGGTAACTATTATTACAGAGTGTAAAGAATTGAACCAAAAAGAAATTTTAAACACATATGAAGCTAAAGATTCAGTAGATGTAGATGACAATTCAAAAATAGATGTATATAGTTCAAGCGAAGGAAAAAAAGCATCTCCTGTTTTAGTTAGAAGAACAAATCCATTTTCAAAAGAGTTACTTAATAATATGACTTCTCCAAGCCTTTTGTCTAAGAGAAGCAATCGAATCAAGGAGAGGAATTTAACGCGTATTAGACGTACGATTATAAATGAAGAAATTATTACAGAAAGTAAATTTTTTTCAAAATCAACTAATAATGCAGAAAATAGTAATATTGTTGCAAATGACGATATACTGTGTTCATCTAATAATACCAATGAAGTGTCACGAGAAAAAGAAACCAATAATTTCCATGAAATGGAAACAGAATCATATCCTATGGATATAGATGAAGATCCTAATGAATTACTTGAATCAAATCGGCGCAGTAACGCAGAATTGTCAAATAATTACAATAATGATATAGGATCGTATTTAAATGTAGAAATAAGTGAGCCAAACTCAAATGTCAAGAGTCAAGAAGCATACAATTTAAATAATTCGTTGACCTTATCACACCATAATATAAATTCTGATTTCTTAATTCAACAAGAGGATATTAATAATTTAAGTGACAGATTATTTAAATGGTCTGATACAGAATCAACTGTACAAGTGAATAACACAACTAAACATCGTAAAAGCACAACAAATTCTGGAAAAGTAAATATTACAACATTATTGAAAAATTTGTATAGTTTTAACAAATTAATTATTATTTTTAGGTTACAAATAGTAACATAAATATGACAAACCATACACGTCGAAGTCAACGATTATGTCCCGTACGACAACAAAGTTTATTGAGTATGTATGGATTTGAAAAAAAAAAAAAAGTAAGTATGCTATATTAAAATTTAGACCATGTATTCATATATCACATATTTGGAATCAAATACAACAATTTGTAATTCCTACAAAATTGATTTAAAATTGTATAAATATGTTGTTTATGTACAGATGTAATTAAAAAATACTCCATGGACAATGATTATCTCACATAGAATGCGAGTGTGATGCTGCTACTACTACTATGTGAACAGATAATTGTATAAAACAAGAATATAATTTATTTACAAAAGTTTAATGTGTACAAATACAAATCAAGATAATTTTTGATTATTTTGACTAAAATACTCCGAAATGTTTCTCTAAGTATTGTTATTGATTAGTATAATTTTTTGTACATAATATATACATACAAACATTCAAATGTAATAAACATTACTTATTTTTGCTATAAATTAGAAATTATTTTCAAAAAAATCTCAATTTCTCGAACCTTCTATTTCATCCCATGGCTTTGGTATTTGAACGTTCTCCCAGTTATCAATATCGATTTTCTACAAAATATGAACATACATAGTAGTAAATTATTATTTACCAATTCTACTATACAACATAGTAATTTTATTTTAAGAATAGTAGGCCATCTTTATTCATAGTGGAGTAGCTTGTCACAAAACGATAATGTCCAAACTATCATTTATACAAAAACATTTGTGCAAGAGAAGTCAAAATTTTCCTTACATTTTTAAGGTTTTCGTATTCTTCTTCTAGAGTAAGAGATGACTTGACTTTTATACCCTCCTTTTCAACCTCTTTCTTCATATCGTATGATATAACTTTTTTATATTTATACCTATAGAAATGAAAGATTATCGTAAATAATACATAAAAGTCACAAATGTATCGTAAAAATACACAGATATACCTTATCTGTGCAAATTCACGCAATAGATACGATCCTCCAATGACAAGAATCATAAACGGCAAGAACTGTTGAAATCCTCTGCTTTTAAAAAATGCTGACATTATATTAAGGTTATGTTATGAATCAGATGGTGTCGGGTAGGGGTTCCAAGTAGGAGCAAGTAGGAGTAGAGATGCCAAAGGATGCTAGATTCGAACTCTGGCGCTGACCGTTCCAGTATAAGTAGGCAAATACGAACAAACGAGCACATGGAGCACGGCGTGTATGTGACATGAGCACACCCAACCAATGATAGGCAAAACCCTAGGCTTCGAATAAATCTGCAAACTTCAGATTTATTTGAAGTCTAGGGTTTTGCCCATCTCTGCTAGGAATCCTATAATATCATCCCTGGGTTGAAGTTCTTCACATTACATAACCACAGGCAAGAGCGCGTTAGCGGCTTTCATAGGGAACTGCCTTGACATTCTTGGAGCCAAATGGAACAAAAACTCACAGAGCTTCAATCAGATACGAATGAATGAGAATGGTATTGTCATGTAATTTGCCCTGTACATACGTAACCCAATTGTTTAAATTATTTTATAAAAGATGTTTTGTATGCACGATTATATGAATGTGGCGGTTACAGCGAAAAAGAGTTCGATCAGATAAAAGGATAGTAACCGTCGTTAACGAAACTGTAACGAGTGTGTGTGCAAGATTCAAAGATGTCAGAACGTGTTTAAATTGTCGTTATCGTGGTATTAACAATGGAAGATTTTAACGATAATGTGGATGGTAAATTGGCTTTTAGAATGAGAAAAGTCAATCCGGAACAGTTCCACACCCTCGTCAAAATGCATTTGTCTTTCGAATTGGATCTCAATACCGAAGAGTAAGTTGATTATTGTTGCTAAAAATTTTATTTGTAACATTATTTTGTAATTTGATAAAATTTTTATGAAACTAAGCTTTTAAATCATAAAATCGTTTGGTAAATTGTATAGCAACGACTGTTTCAATGAAAAAGCAAAATTGAAGAAATGGGGTCTCTTGAGCTTTACAAAGAAACCTAAATCAACAATTAATTTACAAAAAGGTATAGAAGGTGCTAGTTTGACAGAGGATGGAATTAATCAAGTGAAACAATTGATAGAATATTTGTCCAAGGAACAAAGTAAGTATAGAAATAAATAGTTCATTGGAACTTATGACATTATTAAATATATAGTACTTTTAAATAATTTCTTCTTATCTTTATTCTTTGTTTTTAATCATTTTAAAGACATTGTTCAAGAAGGTATATTTAGACGTACTGGTAAATTGACAAGACAACAAGATTTGAAAATTACAATGTACCAAGGCATTCCCTTAGACCTTCATGATGGACGATATAGTGTTCATGACTGTGCATCAGTATTAAAGGGATTTTTGGCAGAACTGCCAGAACCATTATTGTCAGATTTGCATTATCCTGCACATTGCCAAATTGCTGGTAAAATATTCACAAAATTGTGCAATTATACATCTCTCCATACTTGAGTTTCAATTATGTTTTTCTATGCACCTTTCATTAAACCTTTTGTAATTTTAGAATTGTGCAGTACTGATGTAAATGGCAACGATGCAAAATTATTAAGAGCTCTGCAATTGCTTTTATTACTTTTACCATCTATGAACAGAATTTTACTTAAATATGTGCTAACACTTCTTAACAAAACAGCTAGTTTTGAATATAAAAATAAAATGAATTGTGATACACTTGCTACGCTTTTCACTCCACATTTGATGTGTCCAAGAAAATTGTCACCAGAAGCTTTACATATCAATTCTCAAAATTTATCATGTTTAGTTGCTTTTATGATTAGAAAAGGGATTGAATTATTTGAAATTCCACCAAAATTAGCTACAGACATCAGAGCATATTGGGTAGAACAGGAAAGAAAATTGCTGAGTCCTAAGAATATTGATGTAAGTCATTTTGTTTCATAAATTAAATTTATTTAAGTTAAGTACAACTAGTATTCTAAGTAATTGCTATAATTAATTGAATTATCTACTATTTCAGTTAAATGAATCTATACCGGATGCAACAGGTACAGCACATACTGTATTTAGTTTCGTTGACCATAAATTAACAGCAAAAGCAAATTCTACTCAAGATACTCAAGCAGCTTTAGCTCAACTTTATGCTCACATACAAGCTATGCCAGAATCAGCTAAAAAGCGCAGGCTTGTAAAACAATTTAACAAAGAAAATGGTCAAGGCACACCAAGACAAGTTAAAAATTGTCGAACTAAAAGTCTTGGAGATTCAATAAAGAAGCATATATTTCAAAAGAAGATCTTGGGGCATAAGAAATTTCTTGATCTTAATATAGGTTGCAATATCACTAGATCAAGTAGCGAAGAAAATATATTATCATCGGTAAGGTGTATACAGAATATTTACTGGATTAAATATAAATTAAGTATTTAACTGCATGATTATTTCAAAATTAACGTATTTTGTTTGCATGTATTATCATACAGAATCTTGAACAATCATTACTTCAAACAAAAGTACTGTTCAGTAAATCAGATGATGAACTTAGTATAGAAAATTGCGATACAAATAATGACAGTTTCCTTCATACTAAACATATTAGTAATAGTACTGGTAGCCTTAATACTCCTATACTGAGGAATTACAAAGACAAGAGAAAGGCTATGTTCATGAGATTTGTAAATATAAAAGAGGAAGAAATGAACGAAAAATATAATGAATGGAGTGTAAACAACTCTATCAAAAGATTTGAAAATGCTTCATATACAAATGATTCTACGTGTTCAAAGACAGGTGAAGGAAGCATATCCTTGCAAGAAGAACATTTTAATATTGACGACTTAAGACGTGACAATGATACTGCAGCTAATATTATCAGACTATCTAGACAGCTTAGCGAACCACCTGATATGTATTCTTCTCAAAGTACTTTAAATGAAACTAGAGAAAATGAATTAGTCAGACAAAATTCAGAACCTACATTATCAATGTCGAAAGTAACTAATGTAGACATGGCTTCCTCTTCTAAGTGTTTTGAAAGCAACAAGAAGTTATTGGAACATTCAAAAATGGATCTACACACTGATAGCGCATGTGTTCACTTATCTCCTATTGTGAAGAATAGACTTTGGAATGTATATGTCGCCCATACGTCAACGCCATCAAATTTATTGCGCAAAAGCTTAGTTACTAACGATTATATGTTAACTCCTATTACTAACAATGATAAGAGCATGAGTCCAATTACCCAAAGTGCAACTAAGATGACAAAAGCAATGCAGGTATGTATTTACTACTGTTTTTAATATTACTTTTTTTTGTACATAATTAAAAAGCAATTATTTATTTTTGTTATATCGCAAATGGTATATTATTTAATCTATCCAAAACATAATGATAACCAAAATAAATATACATTTTATCCAAGTGGACTTTTCAACTGTTAATTAAAGATTAACTTTACATTTATAGTAAATAATATTTGACAAAGTAGAATCATTTTTCACATTAATTGCAGGAAACAATGATGACACCACGATCTAGAAAACCAGTAATGATGGTTTCGGGTTCAAACCTTTGTAATCTTGCTAGTGTTAATAATAGCTGGAGTCAACATAATGTATCTAACAATATACGTACTTCAAATCTAGATATAATTGGACCCATTAACTATGCTTCAATTCTAGAAGAATCCCAAAGACCTAACAGTACAAACAGCGAAATCATTTATGGGGAGAGTATTGATTTAGAAGAGAAAGAAAACTTAGTCAGTGATGTAGGAGAAAAACGGAAGTTTCTCACATCCGTTGCAGATGACTGTTGTGCAGTTACTCAACAAAGTACTATGTCCATAACGAGCACATTTAGAGAATATTTGTTATCTAGAAGTGTTTTAACTGCTAGTCCTGTTGACCTCAGTTTTTCATCACGAACAGGAGATTTTGAACAATCAGAGTCTGACTTAAACATCTTAAACGAAGATCGCCTTTCTGATAGTTTATTATGCTGTTTAAATGGTAATAATCCAGAATCTGATACTTCTGGTATTGTTTCTGGTAGCACTAATAGCGCAAACAATTCCTTAGAAAAAAAGGATGAAACTGTAAGTTCACCAAGAAAACGAGCAACTAGTTTACAGCGTAATGATTCCAAAAGATCAGTAAAGGAAAGCAGGACATTAAAAAGTATACGAGGACAAGGCTTTAAGCATAAACAATTGAGCGAATCAACGTTAAATTCAGTGAAAGTAAAAGATACATTTCAAGAGACATCATTTTGAGATTTAAAGTGATATACTTAAAATATAAATCAATATCAACGTATTTCAACACTATAGTGTTCATGATACGTTAACGTTTCTTTAATTATGCAATTATATCTTTCTTTTATTTTAAGGATGTTATTTTAGAAAAACAAAATTGACAAGAATTAACAATATCATAAAAACCTACAAAGTCGATAGGTTTGTTCATCAATGTTAGTAGAAAGTGAAAAGTGTAGGATATAATTCTATTGTGTACATTTGTGTGTTTCTTCGAATTCTGTTTAATTTTTATACGTTCATAATAAAAAGTAGTGTATCATTATGTGATATATACGAATTTGTAATATTTACATTGTGAACAGTTTTGTACTAAAGTTTAAAGTATAACACATTTATTTTATATACTGCCAAAAAGTTTACGAGGCATGTTTTTTGTTAAATTAGCAATCTATAAATAAATTTTTTTGCACAACAATATGTACAGATTGTCTATACATTAATTTTATTTTACTTGTTACTTATTAATAACTACTATACTTATTTATATTTTTGAAGAGTATGTCATACACATAAATAAAATTTAGTTATCCAATTTTGAATTAACATTGAGAAAAATCAAACTAAATCCAAAATTTGTTATGAATAATGAATAGGAAAACATAATTATTCTACAAATGTATTTTATTAATATAATAAAGTAACATATCTCGAAGATAGTGATGTACGAAATTCAGAAAGAAATTTCATATGTATACTTTTACAACATAATTTACTAACTGCACCCCCCGATTTCACCCGTGTGGAATATTATTTTATTTTATTTTATGTCGTTTGCATTCAACTGACTGCGACAGAAAAGACAGGTATGTAAAACTGATCATAAAAAAATATACAATTGTTAATAATTTGTAAATATAATTAACATGTTTTACTTACAGGTTCAATATGTATGATAAAAAGACTATACATGTATTACAATAAATTTCTATTTAAATATCAATACTTTCATATAGAAGAAAAATTAGATAGTTCCGAAAAATATGATACATTTATAGTGCGAATATTCGCCACACTAGATACAGGATTGATATAATAAGACTAAAAGTGTTGAAATTGTTGTTACTGATGTTACCAATAGTTCATTTTAGTGCTATATGCATTAATTCGAATTGTACTATAACGATTTTGTAAGAAAATTAAACAATATTAGAAATAATTACTATCTTTACAGTAGTACAATATACTTATACTTTACAGGTTGTCATACTACATATCGTCAAAAAGAAACTGGTAGCTTTCAAAATCATGTATGTGAAGATATGGATGATAAAGTGGTAGTAGTTAATGATGTAGATGTAAGTCAAAACACATCATCATTACCCATATCTGGAATGTGCGATAGATGTCGTTCCTTTAAAGCTTTATTTACCAATCGCCTCCGATCCTGTTTTAATTCTTGTTCACGTCTTTGAGCATCTAAAATATCATCTACAGACACTTCAGTTAATGGTAAACCTCTTTCTTTTTCTCTGTCCTATAATAAAATTTAATTCATCCAATATAAATGTAATATAATCTCTTCTAAAATATCATGTAATCATATAAATAATGGCATTACTATTTCTCCTAGAAGCACTACATTTTCTCCTCTCACAATAAAAATTCCTCTTGGGATGTCTCCATACTCCTTGCCAACATGAATTCTTTCAATTGTACGATGAAGTACTATATTAGCAAACTGATCAACACTTCTAAGATATCCAATTAATGTTCTACCATCTCTTAGTAAAACCATAAATTTCTCTAAATCAAAATGCCATGTGAAAGATTTATAATAAAGGAAGTAAATGTTATAACAATGCATAAAGTAAATACACTTTATTAAAAGCTAATTTGATTATGAATGCTTAAAAAAATATATAGAAACCTGCATATAAAACTTAAATAGTAAAATATTCGTCTAAAGATAAAAATTGTGTTTTTAATGTCTCATGTTTTTATGCTTAACGCTTCTTATAGATATACAAGTTGATATTACTAATAGACAGATTGAAAAGACAAAACGTACCGGCATAACCTATAAAATGATACAATTCTGATATAAATACGTACTATCAAGTTCTTCAAGAAGAGACGCTGTCCCTGGCAAAATGTTCATTTTGCTATTTCTTTCACTTCTTATCGAAGTAACTTCCAGATTAAAAGAAATAAAAATTGTATACACTAATTTAACCTGTAGTAAAATTTAAAGATAAAATCATCTCACTCATTCCTCAACGATCTCTCAAACTATTTCAATTTAGTATTACCGGCTCAGGTTACAGGTTTGATATATAAAATTAAAGTTGTAAATTTATAAATTTTATCATTTCCACATTTTCTATATACGAAATTCACATGGACCGACAAATTGTTCCTGAAGTTTTTTTGGTTAGGTAAAATCTGGTATTAACTTTAAGAATTGTAAAGTGAATAATGGATGTATTGCAACTTAATTCTATTTTTTGTATCGTTTATTTCTTAACAATATCGCAATATTATTAATCTTTCATGGAAGATAAAATACATACACAAATAAATCAAAAGTAAGTGAATTTCAGAAATACACAAACAATGTATGGATATTGGATAGTAATACTGAACAACACTGGACACATTCTGCACGCCAGCATTGGACTGGAAGTGTTGCATTTCGTGATCTATGCTAGGGATAAATTAATTTCCACAACCACCCCTAGATGGCAGAGCGGAGATTCTTTTGTAGGGGAAAACCATGAAGACTGTATAAGGAGATCCAACTCCCTAAGAAAGTTACTAGAAAACTGTTATCAAAATCATTTCTACCACTTGCGCCGCGAGTGGTGGATTTTGATCACAGTTTTCTAGTAACTTTCATAGGGAGTTGGATCTTCTTATACAATCTTCATGATGTTACTATAGTTTAGTGAGCAACATGCACGCAATATACGCCACCTGCCGTTTCTCATTGCGATTTAATAGATTTAAACCATGTTTATTTTTTTTTATAATTGTGCGACACGAGTAGACGTCGAAACTTTCTGAAAAACCAAACGAATCGTATTTAACCGTCAAACCGTGAAACTATATAAGCTTGTACAGTGTTTAATGTGATGTATTTGTTCCTACGTCGGCATAGCATTGTGATATGTATATACATACATATCTAGATGCATAATACGTGTGTCGAGAGGCGAACTTTATAATTTAATGGTAGGTTATAATTATTTTATATTTAATTTTTCGTGTAAGGCGAAATTATTATTACGAATTTTGTTGACCAAAGTTTATTGCTTTTTTATTTGAATTAGAATAAATATATTTAATTTTGTACAAGTCTTAATTATTTTACTATAGCTATAATTTATTTTGTAACATATTTGTTACGCAATCTAAAAATAGCATAAACAAATTGTACCAGTTTCCATTTAAAGGTATAGCTAATTTGTTCTATAGATTATTAACGTGTACATGTTTGTGTCGTTAACTTGCTTTATATTGCAAATTGGTAATCCCGAGACATATTTTTTTAGGTTAATGTATTTTAACATCGAGTCAAATAAATTTTAATCATTTCAAAGATTTTCTATTTTCCTGTTGTGTATGCAAAATTCATTGAAATCAATTATTCAAATTTACATAATCTACGAAATTTTTAGTTACGAATTTAAAATATACTTTTTGTTAATCGTAATTCTGATAAATTCACAAAATATATCGAACAGAAAAGAATTTTGTACTACATTTTAATATATAGTTTCCATGCTTGTAGTTGTGTTTTCGTATAGATTTATTAAATTATATTAATTGTATTAATAGTAATAAATAAAAGTATATTTGAAACAATTTTTGTCTAATTTCTTAATTTTTAACAAAGTTTGAATTGTATAACATTGAATATTATTTATCATACTTATATTCAAACGTAATCCTTTACAGTCCAAAGTTGGAATATTTCTAAAAAAAATATCCTGACCTTGGATAGCAAGAGGTTAAGTAAAATTATAATGTTTAAACCTCATGAATGTTATTTCATTTAATTTTTATGTTAGCACATCTAAGAAAAGTAATATAATTGTTTTTGTAGATCTATTATCATTTATAACATAATAAAAACAATGAAAGTATGCCATGGATGAACACAACAATGATCTTTATGAGCAAAAGCTTTATGCTGTGTTTCAAAGTTGCTTAACAAAAGGAGAAACTGAATTACAAGAGGATAACTGGTTGAATTTATGCCATAAATTACATCTTACAGAACAGAGTGAAGAATTAAAATCTTATATTTGGCAATATAAGCAAGAAAAGCAATCTATATCATTTCAAGAATTTAGGACAGCTTTATTAACTTTATTAACCAAAACACAGGAATTAGCTACTCGTGCAGATAAAGATGTCTTATCACAGTCAAAAAGCGACATAAATTCGTGCATCACAGATAATAAAATATGTAGTTCGCTAATATCTAGTAATTCCAATACTCGTGTAGACATTCTTAACATAAAAACAGGTGATTATGATATTTTGCATTGTTTAAGAATTGGGAAAACTAATAATTTTTGTTTAATTTTTACATGGAAACTGTTTTATATTTTATTTCATCAAATGTTTTTAAAAGTAAATATTAACTTTCAGGTGAGACATTAGATGAAAGCAGATTAAAATGTCTGTGGGAAAAAATAAATAATTACTTAAAAGATGTAGATTCTGGAACAATGTATTTTATAACTAATTGTTTAGGAATCCCAACTCTTCCAAAACAAGTAATTAGATTATTATAATTTTGTTGTCTATTGAAAAGAATATCGGAAAGAATCTTTTATATTTTTATTTGTTTATTACTTCTATACAGATCACACAATGCATCTTTGAAAAGCTTGACCAAAATTGTGATGGATTAATTAGTTTGGATGAATTTCTTATAATATTTCAGAACAAGAAAACTGTGGAAGAACAATTAACATTAGATAAGAATGATGAATCTGTGAAAGAATTAACTAAAGTGGATTTTAGGAAACGTAACTTTGATATGCACCCACCTCGTAAAACTAGGTACCATGTCATGATTGCTATATTTATTATGGTATTTGAAGAATATTTTGCTTTTAAGTATTTAATCTTGCTTCATGAATATTATACATACATTTATTTTGTATTTATCAAATAACAGTTTTGCACGGAGTAATACCTTTTTGGATACATGGAAGCTTTCTGGTATAAGTACATCTTTGCTAACGGATGGCAGTCTCAAAACGTCTGAAATTTGTCTAGCTGATTTAACAACTACTCTATGCGAAGAATTGAAGAATTTTAATGACTCGCTAGATCATTCTACGATTTGGTCGCATATTATGTTGTTACGAGATGTTTTGATACTATACCAAGAAGAACTGCATAGTCTAAAGTACATATTACTGAATTTTCTAAACGAGAGTATTTTAAATAAAAAAAAAAAAATGTAAGTATCTAATAATACATTTTTTTTATTTTTAGCATTATGCTTGAGAATATAAATGGCGAGAAAGAAAAGTTACGCATTGATATTGTAGAAGCCAACGAGCGAGCAAATACTCTTGCTCAAGAAATTGATGAACAACATAATCGTCAAGAAGAGGTTTTGCTAAACTTGCGAAAACAACTTGAACAACGTTACTCAGAAACTTTACTAGATCTTTCAAATCAACTTAGTTCGGAACGAGAAACGAATGCTAGTGCCTTAAAATCGAAGGATGATCAAATACAAACATTACAGAAAGAGAATCATGAAATTAGACATAAGTTTGTAAATACGTTACAAGAAAATCAAATGTTAGAAACTGAAAATGAGAATCTTCGTAGTCAAATTGAAAAACTCAAACAATCAAATAGTGAGTTACTAATCCAAGTGAAAATGTTGGGAGTAGAACACGATGAGGTATTTTTAAATGTCTTGGTCATCAAAATATGTATACATATGAAGTTCTTGCATTTATAATAATATTTATTACTTTTCTAAATAGTCACAAAATACAGAAGTAAAGCATCAACAAGAAGTTATATATTTAGTTGATCGTATTAAACAAATACAATCAGAATCTGTTCTTTTACGAGACCAGAATGATGAACTTACTGCAGAATTAGAAACTTTGAAACAACGTTATAGTCATATTAAAGATATACGGTAACGTATGAAATACTAGTATTTCATGAAATGTATTTGATTTTCTAGAAATCTATTAATTTCGTCATTTTGTTATTGTAGACAAAATCATGTATCAGGTGATCATACAGCAAGGAATATCCAGTCAGATGAGGCTGAAGGTAATAAGAATATTATATATTTTATTTATGAGAGGTTAATATGCAAAATGTTTCTCTAGATAAAGGAGCATTTATAGCGGATGAAGAAGATGATTTAGATGTACTTTTGAAACATTCCGTGTCTGTAAGTTGTCTTTAATAATTTACAATATTCAATCTAATAACGTAAAATACATTTTTAATATATAAAATTTGTTTGCTATTTATGTAGATGCCTTGTAATTCCAACGAAGAAGAAAGTGCGAAGAATTGCAGGAAAATAGATTCAAAATACGATAAAAATTTGGTTATAAAACAATTAAAAAATATTTTAGCAAATAGTAATACGTGCACTTTAGAAGACCGTGTACTTAGAGATGCAATCTCAGGAATAATCGTAAGGTTACAATCAAATTCGAATGCACAAATTTTCAAAGACGCAGATTCTATTAAAAATATTGCATCTGAAATGGAAACAGAGTGTGAAGAACGAACAAGTGAATCGTTAAGAGACTTTGTAGTGTCGAAATATAAAAATTCTCTTTTTATTAAACGAGGTACTGTATGCAATAATAATGAAAATAATTGTGATGTTGATGATAACTTTAATAATCAAGATACGAAAAGTCCATTACAAAACAAAGTTCCAAGTCTTAGAGATTATCCACCTCGAAAAGAAGAACATATAATTTTAGATCAGTCAAAATCAAATAAGGAAAAAGATACTCCACTTAATCATGCAAAGATAACTAATGAAGTAAGCTTAATAAAAAATGAGTCAGTTGAAGATGTAAATTTATTGAATTTAAAAATACAAGATCTTCAAACAGCACATGCAGCTGAGAAAAAACAATTAATTGAACAATGTGTAGAACTAGAAAGAAGTCTTGAGTTATTGAAAGTAGAATATGAAGAATGTGAAGACTATTGGGCAGCTAAATTAGAAGAAGAAAGGCAACTTTTTGAACAAGAACAAAAAATTAGCGACGAAAAGTTTTCAGAACTTATAGCTAAAATGGAGGAATACGAAGAATTAATTAGCCCCGTAGATAAAGTAAAAAGCAGTGGACGTTTGTCTCCAATAGAAGAAAAGCTTAATTTAGAACAACAGTATTTAGATCTTGAAGAAGAATTCGAAAAATGGAAGACACAAATGGAAGAAGAAATTTCTCAGAAAAATAAGGAAATACAAAATTTACATGAAACTATAAAATCCTTGAAGCGACCAACAATGACTGATATATCAATTCAAGTTACAGATGAATCTATATTTTCGCCTTTATCAATGCGATCAAATTATGTTCCTAATAACTCATTTAATATTGAACCATCCAGCGAAACTGCTTCCATGTTTACCCAATGTAATGATAATATTCGCAAACTGCCTGAGGAATTTAAATTCAATCGAATTTTAGAATCTTCAGCCTTATGTAGTGATGCAATTCCGCGTGTAGCAAAGGAAAACGTGGGCATTAGTAATCTACACCAAATGCATACACAATATTCTCTCAAAGATGTAAATAGTACATATAAAATTGAAAAGCCAGAATCCCATTGGAAAGCAACAGAAGTTGGACATTCAAAAAAAAGTGAAAGTATACATGACATAGAGTACGACTTAGTACAAGATAGATTAAAATTACAAAATTTAAAAACTGCAAATTGTCAGTGTGTACAAAATAGTGCGCAGCAACAAGTATGTTGTGTAAATGTAAATATACTACACAATCTAAGTTTAAAACTTGAGGCGCAGGAGCGTAAAAAGCATCAATTGCAAGAATGTTTTAAGCAACAACAATACCAAGTTGAATGCGTGCTACAACGTGAGTTTGTTATATCATCGTTCAAAGCATTTTGTGTTTATGATCATTATGTTTTGTATATCAAATTATACACTTGAACCATATACTATGATTTAAATATTACTGAAGTAATGATATTGTTCTAGATATTATGTCTCAACATCAATTAGAAGTTTCAGAATTACAGTATCTCCTTCGTAACACACAGGAAAGACTTCAAATAGAATTTCAAACAATCGCAGAACAGGTACATGATTTTGTATACAGTATTATAATTATTGAAATTTCCGATTATAATTCGTAATTAATATTGTGATTATAATATTGCATGAAATACATTAGAATTTTTAATTTAGTTATATATTTTCATACTATTTTTCACAGGCTGAACAATTGGCACATACTGACATGTTAGTAAAAGATTTGTACATAGAAAATGCATGTTTATCAACCGATCTGAAACGTTTACAACAGCATTATTACATGTTAACTGGACTGAATGCTGAATCTACTTCAATATGATATTGCAAACAATTATTAGTCATACATAGAAAACAAAGCCCTATTAATAAAATATTAGTAACAACGTTAATAATGTTTTAACGTTAAAGTGGCATTCAGGAATCACTGTGGTCCTATCTAAATTATCAGTTGCAATGCGTACTATTTTTTCGTTTAGAATGTCTTTAAAGGAATCATTAATAATATACGAGATTTATAATTTTAGTCCTTTCAGTACTGATTACTAATGTTGAATTGACATTACATCATAGAATAGTTTTAAAACTTGAAAATAGTTAATATATATGAAGTATATAGGTATACATTATTTTTGCTTCATGTTTTATGTTTGCGCACATGCATATATAATAACATTGAAAGAATTAAACAAATATTTTGTTGGATTTCGTGATGTTTATATGAATGTAAAAAACCATTTAATTATATTACTATAAAATATGGTATAAATTGTTGTAGTATTATGTGAAATACCACAAGCAAAAAATGTTGCATTCTCTTGATCTTTATTAATTGAATTTAAAAAATCAAAGATTACTGTTTATGCTCAAGACTGGCATTATTTATCTACAAATCCAAATTTTTAAAATTTAAATTGAATTTAAAAATCTGGTGCGTTTATTAATGAATTGCTTTATAATATTAATGGTCATTGATAAAAGTTTATAACCTGTTGCATTATTCGTAAGTTGTAATTACAATGTTTACTTTATACTTCATTATCCAATGAATCTACATCCTTAGATACATAATTTAAGAAAACAATAGAAGGAATAAAGAAAACACAGTTTAATTACTAAATCAAGCGGAAAAATATGTGAACTCATAATTTGTTAGCATCTATTTCTTAAGTTATCATGTATGATGCAGATACTTTATACCTATTTGTTTAGATTTTTTTAGTGTAAATGCCAAAGATAGAAGTATTGCGTATAATATGACGCTGATAATTATGCTTGTTATGAGTGATGAATAAGTGATTGTTTCATCGGTATATAATTTATTTCAATTGTTACTGTGAAATCGAAACAAATTATTTCGTTGCATAGTGGTGTGTATCATTTACATTGAGAATGAAACATTTACATGGAATAAATGTAATTTTACACGCATCGTAGATGTAAGTATCTGTTAGCATTCACACCAATGATTAGAGATCAGAAGGTTAAGAAGAAATGTGGATTGTAATCCTGATTTTTCAACCATAATGGAACGTGTTTATTTATTTAAATATAACGTAATATGAAAAAAAACAGCAATGATTAAAAAGAGATAACAATATAAAAATTATACACTGTAAATTTGATCATTTACATTCGCAAATCATTTATTTAAACTCATTTATTTATTTATAATTATAACATTTTGGAAATATCCAATATCATATTGGTAATCAAGATTAAGAGTGTTACTTTAGAGTATTTAGTTTTTAAATTACATCACGTTTTACAATACGATAGTTAATACATCAAATTATGTATGCAAATCATTGGATATCAAATGTTCAACAAAGTATATACGTAGGATTATATAATACACAGTAATATGTAACTTTAACTATGTTGAATATGTAGTATGTGTATATACTATGCATACATAATTTATTTACTGTGTATAGTAGTTAGTCGAAATAAGACTAATTTGATTTCAATCATATCGCTGCCATATAGAACATTTTGTACATGATATTTATATAAGTATTTGCATATTTCCATGTTGCATCGAACTAAGTTCTTTCACGTTTGCCTTAACGCTTATTAAGATTCCAACAAAATCTTTGCGACTCTCTTATTTTATATATATATCGAATATTCTTCTATACATTATCACTTATAAATCATCTTGTCTTCGAACATTCTATAGTTTTCATAATGAAATTGTTAAACGGCAATAATAAAATAAATTATCGTAATATTCTAAGTAAATCAGAGAATGAAGATGATACATATTAAGAGTTTAAGTTATTTAAGGGTTGTAACTGATTATGTTTATTAAACAAGTGCATTTTCTATTGTAATTACACTGTACATAATAATGTACAAAATGTACTGATAAGTAAAGAATATAAAAAGAAACTTAAATTAAAAAATTTATTTCATTTCCAAATTATTGTTATTGTTCATTACAATTCTTATTTTCTGTTAATAATTATATTACGTTTTCGATATGAATATGTATCAATTAATTCAAAATTCGTTTAATTTGATCACGATTTTGATCAACAATTTTAGTAAAACATTCTCATGATTCTCATAATTATTCCAGACACATTAAAAACAAAAAAAAAACTCTATCATCCATCATTTACAGTTATTTACACATGTACTTTTTGTACATATTGCAATAACTAATACCTAAAACTTCTCATTTAATTTTTCTTTTGTGGGTAAATTTTATCCTTCCTTATTCTATTCCTTTGTTTCTTTTTAACGTTGAATGACAAGAAAAAACAAAAGAGATTAATTAAAAAAAAACTCGATTGCTAGTTCAATAATTATAATTTGTCCAACAAAAATTCAACATTAATTTCAAACTGTAAAATAAATTAATTAAAAATTTGAAAACTGAATATATTTAAATATCATAACCGAATACATTAAAAAAAAAACAACATACATACATCTTAATTTTTACAAAATCGATAATGCGTTTTGGTTGACATGGAATAACGTTACTTTATAAAGTATGTTTTGAACCGAATTAAGAGGACAATTTTCGTACAATACGTTTTCTTAAGTAATTATAATTTGCACGAGATAAAAGAAATAATTAAGCATTCATTCATTTGGAATAAGAAAATAACTCGACATCTATTTCTACTGCAACTTCGAAATTTATTATGAATTCAAAACGTCAGGTGACTATAATAAAAATGTAATTTACTAGAACTGATATCTTGTAAAATTAGGATTTTCTGTCAAGATGATTATTTTTTTATACTCCTTCGTGGAAGTGATGACAATCATCCACCAACTATTATGAATCAGTGAACACCATTTTCTCAATTATAAAATTGTAAAGATTGTATAATATAAAATTAAATTCATTACGTACCTTATCGATGTCATTTTATATTCTGCAACAGGATAAAGGAACTGCGGTGTATGTGAACACGAAAGATATCATTTATTTATAATTTATGAGGACAAACAAGTAAATTTACATAGGAAGGACACTTTCAGTAAAACACATTTGCTAAACCGTTGTCATGCCTAACATAGAAAAATGAAACTAATCGAAATCTAATAACCAGCCTTGCTGATATTTAGTCTTTCACTGAACGATGCGAAAACGTTTAGGATCCGATAAAACCAATTTCATTGGAATTATGAAACGTTCCGAAGCAAAAACACAATAATTATACACATTTCTTTATAAACGAAAGTAACACTAATATTTTGTTAGCATCGTAGCGAAAAATAAAAGAAACGTTAACGTGATTTTCGAATGGACAATTAACATCTCTATTGTTTTACCTTATGCGTGCTCTCTTTTTCTCCCTTATTTATTCGACCTCTTCTCTCTTTCACTTTCGATTCCTCTATATGTAATCTATAATAGCGTTATAGTAAACTAGTAAGGTACAAACAGGAGTTTTATACACGGCTTCACGAGAGAATACATTAAGCTCAAGATATCTTATCTCTACCTTTACGAAAACATGGTCCTATGCGTGTTTAACTTCGCGCAATAATTTTCGTTCGAAAACATTGGTAGAACGCGGAAACATTTTACTATACAGGATGTCCCAAAAATGTTGCAACACCTTGAAAGATGTGATTCGGGAGGTGGCTTCGTTAAGGAGATATTAACGGAAAGCACTGACCAATCAGAGCGCAAGTATGCCGGTAGGGTGTAGGCTACTCGCTAGGTGGCTTCGCTCATACGCTACCGCGGCCGCTCCAACGGTATCCGCGCGCTCTGATTGGTCAGTGTTTTCCGTTAATATCTCCTCAACGAAGCCTCGGACAACAATTTCGCTAAGGAAAAAGTTGTTTCAAATCACCTCCCGAACCACCGCTTTCAAGGTTTTGCAACATTTTTGGGACACCCTGTATTTTATCGAAAGATGGCGCGACGATCAACCGTAATTGGCGCGAATGGGCAATACAATTTCAAACGCAATGCAAACTTCTCCAAGTTTGTTTGGAGACAACGCGAAAGGTGTTCCCAAAAATGAAATGTACCGGGAACAAGATTTCTCGTATAGAAATTCTATAGAAATAATTGAAAAAATCCCGTTTTACTCATCCCGAACGCAATCGTATGCACACGTGATGTAGCGTATGTCGTTGTCCATTCGATTCGTTTCGCGAGAATGGTCGACGTTTATATTGCCTTGGGACTCTAACTTAAATTAATATCGGTACATAATTCGTCACATCGAAATTAATATTTTATTTATTGAGCAAGGTTCTAAACATTCGTTCTTTCTTCTCAACTAGCGAAACTAAGGCTATGACATTTATATAAATAAACAATTATTCGTGCACGCTGCTTCAAAGATACGCTCGGAAAGTGTAACACTGCCGTGACAATTGCGGTCAGTTGAAGTAACAAGAAATAAATGATTCAATAATCAGATTTTTAAAGCTGATAAAAATAGAAAGGAAAGAAACGACTGTGGAAATAAATACTGATCAATCATTCGTGCGATCTGCTCGAATCTATATCAACGTTTACGAAACCATAATGCTTTCTATGTATTCTAACAGGGAGATCACCGAAGCCCATCGACAGTTAGGAGTATCAGAAAAAGGATCTTCGTAAAATCTTACCAAACACGACTACGATTGACATTAACATTAATTAAAGCCAGATTATAGTATTATCGAACCGTTATCGCGCTAACAACGTACCAAAGAAAAGCTTCGAAATATCAAAATTGCGTTAAATAGTTATATTGCGATGTTGTAGAGACGTTTCAAAAGTTCCGTTCAAAAAGGATTCGTCGACGTAGAGAGTCAAAGAGGAAAGGAAGAAAAATGCGAGAAACCAAGAAAAACTCGGAAACGACTGACATTCAGCGATATATGTATGCATATCTCTAGTAGATACGAAAACGTACGTAACGTTCTTGCGTCGCACTTTTAGTTAACGAACTCGAAGCGTTACTCTTCGAAGCAGATGCACCACAGTACACAGTTTTAGCGATTGGGACCTCTATCTATTAGGTCATCCCACAAGTTCGCGCCTCTGATTATGTTCACATTTAATAAAAAAGAAAAGAAAAGAAACTCCAGAACTTTTTATAGCAACGGTATTCCGACAAAAGGAATCCTCCGACAAAAAGAAAGGGTGGCAATTACATACTTTCGTCATCTTTAAAGGTGTGTTACATGTATCCATTTGAATAACGTAAACATTGGAGAACGACAAGTGGCACGAAATTGTAGGATTACCTAATAATCGTAGTTACACCTTATAGCCTTATTAGCCTAATATCGTAATTCGCCCGTGACCACGGGTACGGTAGGTACACCATTATTGACAATCATTAAGACGGATCCTACTATATTAAGTATAATTAGGTACAATTTGTGCAAGGTAATCGTTGTGTGACAGAATATAGGACAAGTGGCTACGCACTCAAACGACTGAAGCGTCTTTGTAAAATGATGCCATATTTTCTCCCATACGTGTTTCTTTCTTTCATTTTTTCCCCGTGTTTTTCTGTTGTTTCAATTATTATCGATTGATCGT